AAAAAAAAAAAAAAAAAAATCTCCATTAACCTGTTTGCAGCAATAAAATGGAATTATCCCTCCCACTAGGTCTGGGGCAAGATGCTTTCAGAGGAGCTCCCTTTCCTTTGGACAGTAGAAACACCCCCCACCCCCACCCTGCCACCGTGGTGTTCACTCCAGTGGGCAGGTGAGGACAACTTCAAAGTGCAGAAGGTCCAGGGCATGAGCAAGGGGATCTTGTGCTTCAGGACTTTGCCTAGCAGGAAGGGAACAACTGTGGTGTGAGCACCAGGACTCAGGAGGTAGGGAGGTCCTGGCTAGAGATGGGGGTTGCTTAATCTGAGGTCCTTAGGCCTGTATCAGTTCTTCTCCAACTAAGTTTGAGAAGCTGGCACATGGCTGAAATGCACTCACGCGGTTGGGGGAAGAGTGTTCTTCCATTCCTCCTCCCCACAGGGCCTCCTGCCTCTCCTAAGTACCTGTCATAAAAGGAGATGAATCCCCCCTCAGCCCCCACACCTCCTTGAGTTGTCAAGTACTCTCCCTCCCACCTGCATAGGAAGCAGGAGCAGCAGGCCAGGCTGCAGGTTGGGGAAGTCAGAAGTTAACTTGAGCTGAGTTTGCAGCTCTGGAGAGATTGAGGAGCAGGCTTTTCTCTTGTCACTTTGGAAGAAGAGGATTGTGAGGCTGCCCCTTTAAATAGCATTCCCGTAGGAGGCAGATCACATCCATCCGTCACCTGCTGCCAAAGCATCATTTTTTGGTCTCTATCAAACTCAAAGCTTTTTGGAAAGGATTGTGGGGTTAGGGGAGTGAGGAGGCAGGGGGCAGTTCAGAAGCTGAAAAGGGGAGGAATGAGGTTGGGCAGAAGAAGCCTGGGAAAGGTGGGGGTGGAGGGGCAAGAGAAACAGGCAGGGAGAGAAGAATAGCTGCCTTTTAAGCCTATGAATGGAACAACCATACCCTATTCTTATCGCTTTAGAGGTGCAGTAAGGCAGAAATGGGATTGGATTGCAACAAGAGGAATGAGGTTGAGGCTAAACACCAGGACTGGTGACTAAAGAAGGTGAAAGGGAGTGCAGAGTGGAGAGATTGGGAGACTTGGCTCTGGCTTTGTTACTCACCACATAATTTTTCTGCGCTTAGTTTTCCCATTAATTAAATGAAAGGGATTAGACTAGGACTCTAAAGTCTCTTTCAGGCATAACTTTTTTTGTCTATGTGTGAATTCCCCTTAAAATGGGCTAGAAGTTAAGGGGGCCTGGGAAAGCAGGATATGCTTCTGCATTGACAAGAAATGTTACCAGATTCCTCTGGAAGTAGGAA